GAACATTTTGACAAGGTCAGCAGCAAAGTATTGTCAAAGTAAAAATGATTCGTGCACAGTTTTGTGACTTAAGCTCCCAACCAATACAAAACCCTCTTCTTCTTCTGATGCTACACGTGAGCATGGGATGAAAAACTTAAAAACCAGTGAACTCCACTTTACAGACATCCTGGAAGATTTACTCCGTGCTGACTTGTCCCAACTGATGATCATAAAAAATGTAATTTGCAAACATTCTGCTGGTAGTGAAGAACAGTCAGTGTGCAGCAGCCATCGTGCAGCTCTACTTATACAGACTACTTGGTGCAGTCCAGTTTTCATGTTGTTGTTGTACTAAGCGTAGCCACGTTCGGGTAGTCGATATCCATCACTGAGGCTCTAAATCCCCCCCCGCCCGTTTCACTCTGCTGACTTTACTGATTCATCAAGAAAGCCCGAAACAAACACACACACTCAGCAGAACCGAGCAGACTCTGCTGTGTGACGATGTTGGATAATCATTGTTGAGCAGCTTGGCTAATGTTCCCTCTCTGTGGTTCTGGGTAATTAAGAGGCTTGTTAGACAGCTTCTTCTTGCTTGTGTTTCATTCCCGCTGTGGCATTAAGCAGCAATGGGACCATTAAACATTGAACCTTGCAGCTTTACATTCTCATATATAAGAAAGAGGATAAAATCCATCCCACTGATGTTATATCTCCATTTCAGTTGAAGTCATTAGTGCCTCACTCTCTCTGCTCTTCCCGCCATCAGGCCTTCCTGCTTTCAAACTCTTTCTTCAGAAGTCTAACCTCGATCATGATGCCTTCACTTAATCAAAAAACAATGGGATTTGTTGCCTGCTCTCTACACAGAGGTCTGTGTCTTATTCCTGGTGCTCCTCCTGGCCCCCGCACACTGTTTGTTGTTCCCTGGAGCAATGGTGCGATGGCAGCAGGCGATGCTGTTGCCTTGGCTGCCAGTTTGACTGCTGCTGCTTCTGTTTTAGCCCCCATGTGATCAGCACAGAGCTCCTCTGAAAGGCACTAAGGTCATTTGTCGTGTCGAGGCATTCTTTGGAAGGTTTTGCACTGGTCGGAGACAAAAGATCTGGATAACACACTTTTGTAGAGTGTGGCAGCAATATGACGACATCCCTTAATGCATTCTAGCTAGAATATCTGTCTAGTGTCGGGGGTTCCTAGTTTCTATCCTCTACGTCACTAATGTGTTTGTTTCCATCTCCCTTTGCCTCTTTGTTTCCCAGGCTGCAGTGAGCGAGTGGAGGTCCATACAGAGCGGAGGGGTGTGATCTACAGTCCCTCCTGGCCTTTAAACTACCCCCCTGGAGTCAACTGCAGCTGGCATATCCAGGGGGGTCAGGGAGAGGTCATTACCATCAGGTAGAACCCCTCTCACATACAGCACACACCTGGCAGTTGTTGTGGAATAAGCACCTGACACCATCAATGTTCTGCCCTAGTTTCCGGAACTTCGACGTGGCGGAGTCGGGAAGTTGTCTGGGAGACTGTCTCCTGCTGACCCCGACGTGGAGCGGGGAATCCAGGCTGTGTGGCTCTGTCCTGCCTCCACCCTTCATCTCCACCAGGGGGCGTGTTTGGCTCTATTTCCACTCTCAGGCCAATAGCTCCAGCCAGGCCCAGGGCTTCCGCCTCTCTTACATCAGAGGTAAGCTGGACAAAGGAGGTTATCTTTTGTTCCATCCTTGACCTGTGTGAATCCAAATTTGCAGTTTTAGTGTGTGTAAAATATATAAATAGATGAAGCAATAATTGCCAGAGCTATAGCAGTGCTTTTATTCATGACATGTTGCATAGAAATATTTTACCATATCACTAGACACTTGACATGGTGTTACTCTCTTGTGTGTCAGTTCTGGGCCACAGTAACCTGTCCAACCCTTGCTTTAGAGGATAGGATACTGAGGGAAAGCTGTATTACTATACACAATGTTTTTTGCTTATTAATATCAAATAATTTATTCTGACACAGGTCTGTGTGTTTTCAGGTTATGTGTTGAGTGTTAGCGGCTGGTGTTGCAATCCGTCAATTTCTTCTCTCCAGTTCAATGTATGACTTGCCATGTTATATGTTAACACGAAAAAAATCCAATAAACACAATGTTCAAAAAAATAAAAAATAAAAAAATTTCTTCTCTCCACAGGTCATCTGGGTCAGAGCAGCTGTCAGTCAGATGAATTTCTGTGTGGGAACGGGAAGTGTCTTCCTCGCTCCTGGAAGTGCAACGGCCAGGATGAATGTGGCGATGCCACCGACGAGCGCAGCTGCTCCCCCCCTCCCACTGAGGCCCAGCCTGGCCTCTGCCCCTTCGGCTCCCTCCCGTGCACCGAGGCCCAGTCCACCCGCTGTCTGCCTGCCGCCCTGCGCTGCAACAGAGCCCGTGACTGTCCTGATGGCACAGACGAGCTGGGTTGCCCTGACACCACCTGTGGCAAACGTCTGGGGAACTTCTACGGCTCCTTTGCTTCCCCGGATTTTTTCCGGGCTAACAGGAGCGCTGTGACGGAGCTGAGGTGTTCCTGGTTGCTGGACACCCAGGACCCCAAGCCCATCGTACTGCAGCTGGACCTGCGGCTGGGGCCCGGAGACTCGCTGCATGTGTACGATGGCCTGCTGCAGCGGGCAGAGCACCTCTTACAGGTGTTGTCATATCATAACAACAGGCGCCCAGCGCTGCTGGAGTCGAGTCGGGGACAGATGAGTGTTTTGTACATGGCCCAGCCTCACAGCCCTGGACATGGCTTCAATGCCACATACCAGGTACTGTAAACTGGGAATATTCTTCAAAAAAAACTTTAGAGAGTAGCTGTTTAGTTGTTGCAGAAAATCAAGCAAAGAACAGGTCGTC